GTATATAATACATACATAATTATATCTATATATATATATATATAACAACACGAAGATAAATATTATTTAGTAAGTTGTTTTTAAAACGTGCGTAAATGTACTTCATTACATTACACATACGCTTTACATTGCACATACGAAAATACGTACTGCAATGCAATACAGATTAAGTCGCTCTGTAGTTTCGAATAAACGTAATTCACTGCATTACATATTCAATCCTTATAGTACATAGAAATATACGTACTTCACTATATGACCTATCTAACTACCTTATAGTACATAGGAAATATACGTACTTCACTATATGACCTATCTAACTATCATAACCCATACGATCATACCTACTCAACTTAATTACAGAACGTTTACCATTCCACACACGTGTACACATACCTCGCCACAACAAACACACGCTTCACATAGGCATTAACAGGACACTTACTAATATAATATACGTATGTCTGGTACGTTTTCCCTTCGACTGTCTTCTCATACTTCTCATAGGCATTAACAGGACACTTACTAATATAATATACGTATGGCGGGTACGTTTTCCCTTCGACTGTCCTCTCATACTCATTACAGGCGGGATTCGCGCGTTGTTCAAAGGGACGTTGCCAAACTTGCTACGTGTGATCCCATATGGTGCACTTATCTTCTACACTTATGAACTGGCCGGATCGGCATTCCTAGCGAACGAAGAGGTGTGTGTGTGTGTACATGCATGTATGTTCGTGTGTATGTGTGTGTGCGTGTGTATGTATGTATGTCTGTATGTATGTCTGTATGTATGTCTGTATGTATGTATGTATGTTTTTGTGAAAGTGTGTGTATATATGTATGTCTATTGGTATGTATAAATGTATGCATGTATGTTTGTATATATGTATTTATGTATGTATGTATGTATGTATGCATGTGGGTATGTATGTATGTATGTATGTATGTATTTATGTGTGTATGTATGTATTTACGTACGTATTTGTGTATCTATTTATGTTTGTATGTATGTATGTATGTATGTATGTATGTATGTATGTTTCTGTGTACTTATATATGTATATTGTGGTGTATGTACATACCTATGTATGTTCGCATGTAGGTATATATAGTATGAGTGTTTGCAAAATGATTGTATTATAGCTGTATTTCGTATTGTTTTCTAATCAATTGTCCCTACTTCTGAGTCTCATACCCACTGCCACCAATTCTCGTAGTATACAGTCACATAGTAACTACATCCTAAACCCTATACCCTAAGTACCTGTCCACGATCAAACCCTAATTTCGTTTTGTACCGATCCCGCTATTGATCCCGTAAGCGAATGTCTCATTATCTGATCTCCATACTCACTTGCACTTGGACCCTAAAACCTAACTCAGCCCCCCCCCCCCTCAATTACGCACCTTTCTAACCCGTAAACCTTACTAAAACTCCAAACCCTACTAAACCCCAAAACCCTAAACCCTGCTGCAATCCTATGCGGCGGCTATACAGAAATACATGAACAGAGCGTGGGAGAAGTACATACAGAACTCTGCGGGAGAGGCGGATCGCCACACACTCAGCCCAACCGGAGAACTAAGGTAGTGGTGGATAAGTATAACGTAAATAAACGTATTTTGCTTGTACGTACATGGGAGGATTTCTATTGATATATATGGTGATGCAGAAGAGTTTGCGTAACGGTGGGTTGGTATAGCGGGAATAAACGTGTTTCGCATGGAGGTGCATCGGAGGATTTGTATTGATATACACGGTGATGCAGAACAGTTTACGTAACGGCGGGTTAGCATAACGTAAATTAATTTATTGAGATTGTACGTAAAATCGAGTTTTTAGATTGATATATACATTGGTGTCGAACTATTTATGTGGCAGTGGATCAATAAACTTAGCTAGACAGTTTGAGCAATTTACGTAAACTCGTAGGTAGAATTTGCGAGCTGAAAATACCTACTTTTTAAAAAACGTTACAACGAACCATCCCGTTACAAACCTACCGACTATCGTTCTCCTTGTCCACTTTGCTAAACCACTTTTCACGTTTATTTTTCTATTTATATATCCTATTATCCTGTGTACTAAATATCCATTTAATCATTCTAAAATACCTACTATCAGCAAACGTTATAACAAACCATCTCGTGGTAAGTAACTCGTTAATCATTCTAAAGTACCTACTATCAACAAACGTTATAACAAACCGTCTCGTCGTCTATCTGCCAACCACCTTTCCACTTGTCCACTTTCTTCAACCAATCCAAACGCGTCTACGACTCTGTCCGTCATTGACTGTAGGCCAACCTCATCCACTGTTGGGCCACATACGCCCTCGTTTACGACATGTCGCAAATTGCTTGAAGCGTTGTCACCATTCACTGTTGGGCCACATATGCCCTCATTTACGACATGTCGTAAATTGCTTGAAGCGTTGTCACCATTCACTGTTGGGCCACATACGCCCTCATTTACGACATGTCGCAAACGGCTTGAAGGGAGTTTGTCGTCATTCTTCGCCGAGCTATCCCGAGTACACGCGCGTACATCCTCATTTACGACACGTCGCAAATTGCGCAGAGATAGGAAATTGTGTGTGATGGCGACTGAGCCTTCTATATTTAGCACTGCATGATACCAACCATCGGGGACATACACGACTTCACCAGAGTTCTGGACTAAATCGTACGCGCGAAAGCCCGCTAAAAGTGCTTCTTGGCAAATGGACGGCCACTCTTTCTCGAACCACTAGGCAATTGTCCAGTGCTCATCCTGTTGTAGATAGCATGGGAGCAGAAGGTATGAACAACTTGATTGAAGCGGTTGGGGTAGTCCTACTTGGCAATAGTCCAGTGTGCTTTCCCGTTATTAGCACCGGTACGGTTGTTACAAACTTGTATTGCAAAGTATAACACTACAGACTGATGTACGCCAACCACCCGCCATTTGTCTAATTACGTCTATCCGGAATGGCATCGAGACGATCGATAGAGATCATAGGAATATTATGTGACGAGTAAGAACCAATCAAAAAGGTATAGACTGTGACTACCAGATGGTATGTAGCGGCATGGTATTTAGCTACCCTCCTGTATACATCCATTAGGCCGTATGTGTAGGTATAAACTATTGCTAATGAATAATTATTGAGGGATTGTTCAGCATCCTCCCTTTGTCAACACGGTGAGATAGAGTGGAACTGAGAACAAATCCATTTAAACACACAACATATA